TTATTGTTTGAAATTTTATCCACATATTCAAAAATTAGAGTTCATTCAAACATGGTTAAATATAAATTTTTTTATATCGCTCATATGATTTTAATCATTTTTGACTATTTCCAGTTTGTTTTTTTTTTTAAAAAAAAAACTATAAGGGTTGGGTAGGTATAATGGATAGCAAAATTCCAATTTAAATTAAGTTAGATTTTGTCTATCGAGGTTATATTGATGCCAAGTTTATTACTAAAAATATTGTATCGTTGTTTGGAACACAAATAATATATGTAACTATAATGTTAAATTTTTTAGTGTTAAATATTTTATAAGTGCGATACCAGAGATCGATGAATATAAGCCAGATTTAAAATATTAGATAATTCTGATACAAATAGCTCTATGTAGTGATAAGGTTTGAATATTTACAACTTAGTCATATAAGTTCTTTAAAGGAAACTCAAATATTCATTTGTTCCATAATACTAAATGTTCAATGAATTAATCTCTAATATTAGTTGACAATAAATTCATATTTGGTTAATGCAATTCTGAAAGTAATGCATATATAGTGTAATGGTTGGTTAGAAGAGTGACATACAATGAATGCATAGTGTAGCTTCAATTACTACTAGAAGCTAGATGGATTAAATAATAAAAGGTTTCTGTAGAGCATAGTAATTCTATTAATGATGGTGTAAGACTAAAGAGAGAATATCATTATATCTATATTACTTTATTATAGGAACAAGATTCTTTTATTTATTAAAATAAATGCTTCACTTTGATTAATATGAAAGAGAACACATTCTGGAACCTACTTTATGATATCAAAGGCACTTCTTCAAGAGTTTTAACAATCACAATTAATTTAGTTAGATAATTAATTATACTAAAAAGGATAAGATTATAAAATCAATAGTAATAAAATAAAAAAACCTGTATAATAACAAATTTAGAAAATGTTCTAATAAAAAAATTCAATATTTTTTTTAAATATAGTAGAAACCTGTAATATGTAATCTAAGTAACTAAGGCTTGGATTAGATATTGATTAATTGGTTCTAATTTGGTAGTAACATTAATTATCAAGAAGCAAAGCCCTGATCATTGAAATTGTAGTTTCAAGGATCTAAATTTTGATCATTATAAGCCTCAGATTTTTGTAATTTTTAAAAATATATATAAAAGAATATTTTTTTATGCTAATAAAGGGAAGAACAATAATTATAATTTTGCTAACCTGGAGATCTGGATTAAAAAATATGTTCTACTAAAGATAAAAAATATATATAAAGTGAAAGATCTTGAGTTTCTTAAGAACATAAATCTTCACTTGCCAAAGAACCTTAATAAATGTCAAGATCAAGAGATTCAGAGATCTGAATTTAAATTTCAAAGATCTTTGTATATTCAGCATAACAATAAATCTTGATCTTGTAAATTAAGTTGCTAAGTAAATAAATATCATATAGTTATCTAACTATTTGTGTGTTTGACTTAAATTCACAAGTCTTTTCATACTTGACTTTAACTTATACTATTTACTAGCATATTGTGCAGATACTATCCACCAAAGCGAAGACAATGCAGTATACAGTTTCTTAACTAAAGGTTACTTTAGAAAACCTAATTGCGAATTCAAACTTCTAGTCGATTCTTCTTAAAGGATTACGACCCTTATATATTATTATTAATCATTATTGTATCACTGATTACATATATAAGTTAGTCTTTTAATTAATAACTACAGATTATACAAAATCTGATCACACCATCTATGATCACGTTACTTTAACTGATTGCATAAATACTGAAATTCACCATGACATGAGCTAGACCCCCTATACTTCATTCCTGAAGTACAAATCTACCAATACCTCTAAATCTCTGAACCCTTTCCAACCACTTCTCGCAAAAAATCTCTAGACCATCCTTGCTTATAGTAGGTAATTCATATTTATCAATATTCCCTATCATATTTTCAGGTACTATCTCACTAACAATACCCTTGACTTTATCATCTACTTTAATACTATCACTCACAACTATGCCATATTTGATTTGTTCATCATCAACATCTCTCATTTTGGTATCAATACCATATTCTCTTTCATACTTTTCTATATATCATTTTTACACCAGCAACAAACAACCAAGAAATCTACAAGATTCGATACAAATAATATTAATCTAGTACCATTAGTATTTTTCATTTCAACAGCTTTGACCTTTTCAATTTTTCCAGTACAACTCATATTGGTAGGTTTTCAAGGATTATTAAATATCTCATGTTTATCAATTTTGATTCCAATTCCATTATGGCAATAATTACTAGGTTCGTATATTTCATCCATCTCAGCTGATTTTTGATATTTAATAAATTTTTTGCATTCATTCCTTTTAACTACAATTTCATTTTCATAGGAATAACCATTATTGTCTATTTTATCTTTATATTTTATTGCACTTCTAATGCCATTTCAATTACAACATCCAGGTTTGTATACTTCATCAGTGTCATCTATTTCTGCTGATTTTTGATAGTTGATGGATGCTCTATATTTAACTTTTTCATCAACAACTCCATTTTGATGACAATAACTTAGATCACCTTTTTTATTATTACGACCCATCTCTGTAGATGTTTGATAGTTAATAAATATCTTATAATTATCCCTTTCCATTCCAATACTATATTAGTAACAATGTCCAAGTTCATGACTTCTATCTACATAACCTATCTTGGCTGACTTTTGATTATTAATGAATGCCAAATGTTCATCTTTTTCAAGACTAATTCTATCTTGGTCACATTTTCAAGATCATATGTACCACTTCCATGATTCATCTTTTCAGATTTCTGATAGTTCATGAATGCATCATGATCATCATTTTCAACACTGTTTCTATAGCCTTCATAAGTCGTAGTCAGCAGCATTTGATCGGCTTCAGTTTTCAAATCATCCTACCAATGATTATCTATCTTGATGATTGTATCATCACTTTTCTCAGATCTACAGATAAGCTACAGCATTTTTCATTTATTTCATATTTTCAACTTTTGCTGTTACTAAAATATGCATTTATTAATTACAGGGTATATTATCTTCGACTCCCATTTCATCTTAATAGCATTGATCATGATCATTCATTATAGCAACATTTCCCATTTTAGTTAATCATTGATACCTAGCGAATATCTTCTTGTCCTTTTCAACTTCAGGTACAGTGTCTGACAAAAGTTTTTCTGCATCTATATCTTCTCATAGAGAGGTGCTACAACCTTTAAACTTTCAAAAACTATAGTATATATATAGCTTAGGTCGTGTGTTTTTTTAAAAGGTTTTTTAATTATTAGAAAAATTTTTAGATAAGAGCTAAAGTCAGAATGTTTTTTTTTTAAAAATGAATAAATTAATTGAATTCAAAGAAAAATTAATACATTATTACGGCTTAAAGCTAAAAATTCTAAAAATTA